CAAAGCTCCTTTTTTCTTTTCTTTAAACTGTCTTCTCCACATCTACACTTCTGACAGAATCCATCACTTTGATAGCTCATCATAGCATCCAGCAATCTGTCTCCTCCCTACAGAGCTTCTTTTGTAATATTACCCTAATAAGATGCAAAGATTCCGAGCCCAAGTAGTGGCAAATCTGCAGCATGCATTTTGCTGCATGTTAAAAACACAGTAGATGCTACAGTATAGCCTGACTTCCAGCACAGGTAACAGCATGAAACTATACATCTGAGACAAGAATTTCAGTCTTTAGAAGAATCTGCTCCCTCCATTTTCTTTACTATATAGGTATTTACAAAAGAGCTAAAGAGATGAAACATGTGGTCTGAAAGAAATGCAAAATTATATGTACACAAAAACACAGGCTCCCTGAATATTAAACATACTAACAGACGCGGAGCTCTCGATTATGCCTCTGCAGACAATGAGGCATGCTAGAAGGAAAGGCCAGGTACTGAAGTCTAGTGATGGTATTGAAAGGCGTTATACCTATGGCAGACAAAGACTCACAAGGTACCAGAGAAAAATATGAGCTAGCTGCTGCAAATTGCTAAATTGACAAAACAGATGTAGGAGACGTTCCTCCGACACATCTCTTCTGGCTTGCAAGTGTGGTGAGCTGCAGATTCTGTCTTTGCCATGGCCAGGAACGAGCACTATCTCTCAGCTGCCACTGGGCTTGACGCAGCAGCGATTCCTTTCATTTGTTTCTCTCAGTTCTATCACCTGAATTATGGATGGAATTCTGCCTAGGCCTGCTGAGTTGTGTACGGGAGTGGATCACATAGCACACAAAATACCTTCTTCTGTATTGACCAAGAAAGTCCAGCGTTACAGACAGAACTGCCAACTACCAGAACAACAGAAATGAGTAAATTAATAACGATGGGTTTTGTCTTATGCCCCCCTCCCATTCTGTCCTCTCCCCTGAGTCATTTGAAGAAATGACTAAAATCCCCATTTATGCTGACAGTATAAGGCTCTCATGTCAATCATGTAATAGCTTAGAAAAAAGTACACGTAAATAGTAAAGGCTTTAGTAACTGGCACAAGCATGACTTTTCTAAGTCATCTCTCTGGAAAGAACTTATCACATTTGAATCTAAACAAACAAGAACTCCTCCCTGATTTTGTGTACGCCGATATACATTGATCAGCCCCAGATACTATTATCTCTAAATGTCTGTGCAAAGTTTGGTTTAATGGTTTTTCAAGGTTGTTTTTCTTAAACGCTGCAACTTTCAGTTTTTCTTGACTGCATTCTGACTGAAGAATATTTTTATCAGTGGATTCACAAATAAGCTTTACGCATTTGCACCAAAATAATGGAACGTGGGGGTGTTATATATATATAAAATATTGTTTATTTATAAAAATCCCCAAATAAAAACCTCATGAACTCTCTGTTAAGGACAGTGAAAAAAATATTGTGGAGTTCAACTCTTGGGTCCCAGTATAATGGAAAATACATTGCACTGCAGGCTTTGTTATTTTCAACCCAGCATAGCTCTGCTGAAGCTGACAGTCCAGCTAGTCACGGTCACTGAAATAGTCCAAATCACTGAAGAAGCATCACAGTCTCAACCTCCCTGAACCTTTTTAATGATGTCAGTACAATACTGTGTGAAGTAATAGCGTAACATTATCTGGACTTCATCTGGACCAAGGAGGTAACAAATTGCCTTAAACCTTCAGCAAGCACTCAAGTTCAAGCTGAGTGGTTTCTGAAGAGTTCACAGTGCTTGGGTGACTGTGAAAGCCTCATTCAAGTGCAGCAGTGCTGCTAACTACCAGGGCCACCATGCAGAATTGGAGAGATTACAGTTCCTCTTATCACAAAACTTCCAATTTAAATACAACTGCTAATCACATAAGGAAATTAACTCAGTGCTAATTCAAAGGCAGCCTCTAAGCCTTTTGAAATTATTCTGCTGTTAAGCACCATCTCTAAAACTTTGAACATCATATTTCAGTGTCACCTTATCTCAGCACACTTGATATGGAAGAGCCTCTGTCCTTACTGAAGCTAATGGGATCTCAGAGGATCCATAGCGAGGGAGTGCCAGGGCTTTACAAGATGAACATCCTGCCTGGGACTGCACAAGTGTGTTTTGCATCACTTCCCACCGGCTATGCCACAACAGCCTCAGAAAGCCCATCCAGCTTTGCAGACTCAAATAAACAACCTGCCAAATGTCATTTCTACATATATTTGCTGCATGCTTCCTCATAAAGTGCCTCAAGGAAAATATCTCTAGAAACATGAAATTTGCCAACTCCCCAGATAACACTGGAAACACTGAAGGACAGTACCAGGCAGGAGAGCATCATACTGACCTGTGTGCGGGTTGAGAAGGATACTGCCAGGCGGTATCCCTGCAGCTTCAAGTGGAAGAATGATATAGCTGGTGTTGCTGGGGGCCACCTGGCCACTCATCCCATTCTCTGGGTAGGACACGTTGCCTGAAGAGCTGGCCGTCACCCCAGGGACAAGAGATGCACTTTGGAGAGGCTGATGTATTCGTGACAGGGATCCTGAGGAGCCAGCACTGCTGGAAGACTCTGAGCCTAACGGAGAGACACAACCGCAACAGGGGCGGTTACAAGGGACGCCAGTCCCCACCAGACACAGTGTGTACATGAGGACAGTGTTCACAGACTGCGAAGGCAAGCACTAGGCAAACACACAACACACCCACCAAACATTTTGTACAAAAAAACCATAAACAACACACCAGCAACTGAGGTGTTAGCCAAGTAACAAGGCAGCTGTGCCATATGTGTATTAACGTAAAGCTACCTAAGACGTTACCTAAGACTTTTGCCACTTTGATTTTTCAGCACCTAGCTTATCAAAATTGATCAATCAAGATAAATCTAATGTGCTAAAACACATTTGTGCCTGCAAGGACGAGGAGACGCATTATTTTAAACACCAAATATAATTTCCAAACTTCAGAGATTTTACTTGATTAGATTTCAGTTTGCTTCAAGTAAAAATGACAAGAATCTCTGAGAGCGTAAGGCTCAGATGAACAGCTGCCTTAAGGGAGGATGTTAAGGCAAATACAAGGGAGGTGTGAAAGCAAACGTCTGTACGGATGCTTCCCCCCAAAAGTAAAGTATATTTTAATTGCAACTTCTTTTATTTTACTTCTGTGCACTGTCTATGCATCTTACATTAATTGCTAACCTCCTTAGTGCCCTCCTGCAGGTATTGATTAAAAGAGAAGACAGAACTCAGACTTAGGTTTTAGCAAACTTCGTTCTTAGAGGGCAGATTACATCCCCTCGTATTTGGGATACTACAGGAGGACCTTGCAGTAGACTGTTTAGAACCTCAGATTCATTTTCAGTCAAATCCATACTGGAATTAATTTATTTCCTCATAATTACAGCAAAACAGGTTTCCACTGAAGAAGTCACACCAGCATCCTGTTACTTAACAAATAGAGGGTCTTTCCATAGATTACTGTGGATTGCTGTGTAAAACACATTTTTGTCCATCTCCTTCACGCTTCATATCCATACGGCAGCTACTACAGAGACAGTCCTCTATGAACTGTGCACTATTTGCCATCAGTAGGACCCTAAATCTGGTTCTCCAATATCTACTCAAGAAAGTAAAAGAGATTTCAGAAGAAATTTCTAATTTCTATAAACACACTTCGAAGTTGTATTGGTTGCTATATTTTTCCCCTCCTTGTAGACTGAAGTTAGATATTTAGAAAGATTATTCTGGAGAGATTGGTTTATTTAATGGATCATTTCAGATTTCAGTGTTTCTACAAATTACAGAGATATTCCTGGAGGTCATCCTCATCAAGCTGCAGGCAGTATTTGGCATCTTTCTCCCAAATGTAAACACAACCGTGCGAGTTTCGTTTTCTTTCTACAGCAGTTACCAGGTCCTTTCCTGTACTTCTCTGGCCCTTTTACAGGCACTTCATGTTGCTGCTTTGAGTTCTTGCTTTACTTTCTCCTCTTTTCCATCACCTATTGAATTCAACAGGTTAGAAAGCTACCTGGAGATGCAGGAGCGATAATGAGATTTCATCAACCTGCCAGTATTATTTCTAAGCAGGTAAGAAGTACCAAGTCTGAGTTCAGACCTCTCCCTCCCCATTTTGTGCTATTCTGAAGAAATGCTGTTAGCATAAAAGATTACAACTCTGACATTCAATGGGGTTTTATTTTCCCCCTTTCAGCTCTTTTTACGGCAGAATCACAGATTGATCTTTACTAGCTTCTGAATGTTAAAAGCCAAAGGACTGTAATGAATTCAGAGGTACCCATCAAATGGTAGGCGGAAGCAGTGGAACAGCCTCTGGAGCGATCACCACATATTGGCCAAGATGATAGGTTTGAAATGTCTGCCTTAAACGATCGGAGAGCTGCTCTCCTATGTCAGTGCATCAAGTTGGTGGTCTTGAAACATCACAAATAACACACAAAACTATTTCAGCAACTTTCTGAATCTTTAAAAAAAAAAATAAACCCAGAAATTACTACTTAACCGATTTTGCCCTTTTATAAGAATGATCTATTTTAATTTTTTTCCCATCATTACAACTTACTCCCTATCATTTTAAGTCTAGACATATTAAGCCAAGTAAATTCCAACATTAATGTTTGGAAATTAACACCAATTAATCTTGTCTTTGCAGCTCTGATTAGCTGTTTTCACAGTGTCTAACTTTGGAGTAAGAAATCACCACATAATGAATTCAGTACTGTAGCGAATGAAAAAAATTGAACTATCTGACTTTATTCAGATTCACATTAAGAGATGTCTTGCTAAAGACTTCTGAAAGGAACTTAGACTAAATGAGAATTTTGCCCCCATTACATAATCCAACTTCTTTTTTCAGTATGTCATGATGGCTACTTCTTCTAGATTCTTCTATAATTTTCTTGCTGCTTCACAGTTGACATAATAATAACCTTCACATTTTCATCACTTTCCATTAATATATTTTTAAACTACTCTGAGAGATGCAGCAGTTCAAAGAGTGGTAGAAGAAAAAGAGACAGAAAAATCACCACAAAGTCTTAACAGCTTAGGGGGTTTGCAGAGGGAGAGCATGGAGGTACCATTAGTTTTCCAATATCCTGCGCACTAGCCAGCAATGCAACACATCTTGCTCTACTTTTTGGGGGGTCAGCATTCAGTATCTGATGACTTTGAACATCTCTGTTCATCCCACCTTCCAAGTTTGACGTAATTTTTTTCCTTCTTATCAACTGGACTCTCAAGATCTAACCACTACTTGCTCCAGACAGTCAATTGTTTAGGAGCAGTACAGTGCGGATCACCTCTGGATATATTGTTGTCTTGGATAAAGTTTCCTGGCTTAGGAACATTTATTTGCTACTTTCATAAGTCACTTGCATTTCTGTATATTACAATGTATTTAGGGCTTTTTATAATAATGGTATGTGTTCATGTGAACATGATTATTCCTCTGCAAGTTGCACTTCTAAAAATAAGATCGATGTTTCAGCACAGTCGGTTGGCGGGAAGCGTATGACTGGAAGCAGTTGGCTCATGATTTATTGCCCATATATCAACATTCCTACAGTTTCTCTTGGACTCACAAGATCCATCAGGCTCAATTAAGCAAAAGAAGCAGAAATTCAGTTCCAAAACTCAAAGACAAAATTATAATTTACAGGATAGTTTATCACAAAAAAAAAAAAAAAAGAGGTTAATGTATTGAAATGCCTGCATATAATCGTCTTTGCCCAACAGAAGTATCAATGAACACCTAACAGGAGAGGTTAGATTGTGGCTCCGATTACTTGGAGCCCCGCCAAAGTAGTTAATGATTCCTACAGATCTGTATCAACACAGCTGACACCCCAGTGCAGCCAGCTTTTCGTAAATGGGGGGAAAAGAAATACACTCCAACAGATGTGCATTCCACTGAATGGAAAATGCATTAAGAGAAGCTAAAGATGCAATAGTTACATCTTTTAAGTCTTCCAACAGTAATTTAAATAGATATGTAGATACACAGAGGACATTTCTTTGAAACACGGCTTGTCTTCCCTCCTAATAATGTATATTAAAACCAGTTGTAATGTGTCAGTGAAAATAACACGGTAATTGATAAGCTAGATTTTTCTCTTCATGGGCATGTTAGAGTCTGAACAGGTACATCTCTGATGCCTACAGGGACATGTATTTCACTTACAACTATACATGCTTAGTCAACCCTGGAAAGTCCACTATATTAATGGAAATCTAAACCAACAAATGTTTTGTATGATGTGCCGAGTTGTAGGAATGCATCTGATTGCAATTTGTTAAATTACTAACTCCCCACTCAATACTGAGTTATAACTTAATACATCTTTATATATCCACTAAGGTTCAAAATAAAAGAGCAGAAAATTTTGCAATATACAGTCTGTGCTTTTTAGTGGAACAGGGCTTTCTAAACAATCAACAGGTGCAAGAAAATAACCATGAGAACTAGTAAGATAACCATGCAACGGGTTTCAAACAGCCCTCGTTGTGAAGTTCGCAAGAATAAAGTAACATAATTCTTTTGCTAAGCTCTAATTCCTGTGCAGCTGAATGCAATTAAAGTCCAAGATTAATTGACACTACTGGACTCTACTGTCGAGAACAGCATGTTGTATGATCTGTCTTTGCCTAAGGGGAGGCTAACATCTTTCTGTGCTTCAGTTTCTGTTTGTCTGCTGTGTGCCATTAATTACTGATTTATCAGAAGTTAAGGCAGGACATTTAATTTTGGTGACAATATTAAAAATGATCCAGAAAGGCTACAGTGCTAATATTGCATCACTATATATACTTTCAAATGCAGCTGTGAGCCATCAGTGAAAATCCTTGAAGTCTTAGTATTTCCACGCTCAAGAACACATTTGACAATGCTTCTGGATGAATGCCATATATGTAGAGTAATCTTCACATTTAAAAAGGTCACAAACAAACATTTTCCGTCATTTAGCCAATGAAGAACATGTTAACCAACTAATGACTTCAGACTGATTTCATACATACTATATGCAAGGCAAAAATGTTTAGCATTTATTACTGTGAGTCATAATGTACTTCAGAGAACAGACTAGTACTTTCTGCAGAGGAGAACCGGGACAGAATTGGTGCCTACCAGGCTCTGCCATGCTCAGCGTTTGTAGCTACGCCTCTGCACTCCCATTTCAATCACTGCAGTAAAGACAACAGAAAATAAACAAAATCCCCCAAAATAAAAACATGACTAAGCTTTACAGAACACCCAGTGCTGTCTATGACTGGATTACAGAACGATGAAGATCTAGTGCAAAACATGCACAATGAAGCACTGCTCAGTACCTAATCTACCTTAGAAAACATATGCAAATAGCACGTGGGGGCTCTGACAGCTGTATGAATGCACTCAGCATTTTTTGGTGAAGGAAAAACACTTTATCAAGGCATATTTCCCCATTATTTTTTGAACAGTCTTTCTTTTCTGCTGTAATGCCATTCAATAACGTTTTAGAGAGAAGAATAGAAGCAGCGATTCAGATACTACTTCCTTTGACTTTCCTCGAGCTGACTGAGAATTTGACTTTGTGTCCTGGCTTTAAAGGTATAAGTTTGTTTTGACATCCAGACTTGCTCTTTTTTCCCACCACTTCCTTTTATTTTGTTTCTTTTTTTACTCTTTCTGTGCTCAACTAGCTTTCAATTTTAAACACTTTGCTTAAAAAAAAAAAAAAAATCAAACTACTTGCAATATGTAATTGCTCTGCAACGAACATGGAATTTTAATATCACTGATGTTTTAAAATGTATTATAAGAGCTTTCATTTGAAAGCAGTTTTGGGTTTGGCGCATACAGAGTGCAGAGGCATTTACAAGTATTGGCATGCTTAAGAGATCTATACGTTTTCTAAGTGCACCCTTTAGTACGCTACTTAAAACAGCTCCTTAAAAGTATTACTCTTCTTCAATTACATGTCTCAACCCTCCAAACTGGATTTCCCTGACACCATTTTAAATGCTCCGCACCACTGCAATACAATGCTGCAGAGAAATACATTACCTGCATTCTACTGAAGGTGAATAATATGACAAAAGTATACCAGAAACCTGTGCCTCCTCCCTAATTCATACACATCAAATTGAATTCTGATGCAGTGGAAAGATTTGCAGGAGGCAAAAACATTGTTTACTGCATACTTCAGGCCCCATTGTATAGCCTATTCAGCCTTTATACAAATAAAAAACACAGAAATGTAGTTTCAAAACTCCATATGCACATATGCTACGTTGCATATGCTCATGTTCAGGAACAAGCCAGAGGCAAACAACTATACTGTACTAATTTTCAAAGTAAAATTCATGTCTTAATTCCATAAAAATTTACATTCATAAGGATGGAGTAAAACTGAAAGAGAATCTTGTCTTAGGAAGGGATCCTTATGGTTCCTTTCCAACTTGAAATGCTCTATGATTCTATGAATCTTAAGATAATAAATCCAGTATTTGTCTATGGTCTCAAAGAAAGCATAAAATAGAAGCATTAAGAAAAAAAAGCATGATATTCCAAAAGCTCCCAGCAACTTTATGATGAGCAGAGTTTGAAAGAGCAACTTTCCAACCAGCTGGATTCCTTCCCAGCTGTGAAATATAACAAAATTTTTTAACTATGTTCAAGATCCAGAATGTAGTTACAAAGTCAAAAGTTTTCTCTGAAAACTCCATTCCCCATCATCCTGAATCATGGCAAAGGCTACCCTCCAATTTTGGGAACAGGAGTGAAATCTGACCAACTCAGGTTTGATAAACTTGGACTTAAATTAAGTACTGTCCATAAAACACTCTCAAGCTGAAAAAGCACTAAGTGCTAAGTATTGATTACCACTTGTCCTGTACTATATTTATCAAATGAGCCAAACTGATGGAATCATCTGATGGACTCATTATTTATTATGCACTTTTACACAAAAATGTAATAGAGTAGCTTAATGGCATGGTTTGAAATGACTTAGATCTCGACCCTGTGACTCACTTACATGTTAATGTACCCATGAAGTTAATGCAAATAAATGCAGAATTCCCACCAGATTCATAGTCCCCTTAAATGATGCTTTCATTTAATGGGAACTAAACAAGAAAATGGAGAGACTGCAGGACCTCTGTGAATCCTGCGCTTCTGATTGCTTCCACCGCAGCACACTGCCTCATCTGCCAGCAGCGAGGGAGAGGTTGTACTCCACGGTACAGGTGGCCTGCATTTTAGCAACAACAAAATGTTCTTGGATTTCTCATCAGATACACAACATTTAATTCTTCATGATTCAAGAAGAGTAAGATGAATAAAAAGGTAAAATCTGTGCTTTGTCTGAAAGGACTTCCACCTTTTTGGGCTACAAGTGCAGTGTTCAAACAGGATGTGTATGTACTCTGCTCCACGAAAAGTCTCTCTCACTGCGACTTGCCCACCTCAGGCACCAGGTTTCTTCTTGATTCATAAGAACTCAATACCAAGTACCCAGATACGAGTGTACGTAGATGGCCGTACACATCTGCTATGCACAGGAAATACAACTGTACCCACAATTCACCATATAGGCAAACCATACGAATTGGACTAGATGATCTCTGAAGGTCCCTTCCAAACCAAACCATTCTGTGATGTACCATACTCAGACAAATACCAGTACAGCCATTTATCACAACCCAACAAAAAGTACTGTGAACCCAATACAGTACTAGCTACCTGTTTTAGACAGTTTGCCGGTACTTCTGTTACTTGACGAGCTATCTCCTCTTGTCAGGACAGTTATTCCACCAAAACTGGCTGTCTTTGTTATGGCTGGCTTCAAATTTCGATTTGAGCTGTCCGAGTCTGTGCTGCTCCATGGCCTCTGGTGATCTGTCCACTTCAATTCGTTCTCAGTACTGCTCTGCCGACTGCCGGATGCCTTCCCCGTGCTGTCTCTGTTACCCCTATGGACATCAGGAAACAACAGATTTATACACACACAAAACCATGTCAGGGCAGAGTCTATCTTTGGTTACCCTGCCGTGAGCCTAATAAAGAAAAAGGAAATATTCTGCATTTATGAAAACATGCCTGAAAGAGGGGATTTGACCCCAGTAGTCAACTGCCTTCAGCAACTAAACATTTCTATACCCTTTTATGTGCACAGCACTTACCACTGCTCTCCTTTCACATATATCCTAAGCGCACTTCACCAGACGGGACTGATGCAGCAATACTACGTGGCACACACATTGCATTTCAGTTGCCTGCTGACTGGTCTCTTCCCTCAGCAAACCCCTCACTACCTCTTCCTTTGCTGTCTATCACCTGTAAGGTCTTTCTCACTAAACTCACCTTCTACTTTTGTCTTCATATCCATCCTCTATTTTTATCGCATCTTGTCCCTACTCATCATCTGCTCTGCAACATCACCCAAAGACTTCCCCTAAACACGTGTCCTCCAAGCATCACCCCAAACTCTTCAATGCTAACTCCACTTAAGAAACCCACCAGTTGGTGTTTTTCCCCCCCCCTCTCTGCATACACTAATTGCAAACATCTCTGGGTAGAAACTGTCTGTCCTCGAACATTTGCAGAGCACTCGGTGTATTAAGCGACACCGCAGTTAATTGTGAGCAGAAACCAGAGCAGAATTTGGCTTGTTTATAGTGAGCAGCTTACAACGTGCTTCTAAAATGACAAAACCAGCATGCCTACCGCAGCTTGGTGCGCCACGACCATTATCCCAAGCGATGCTAATAACGCTGGCTTTTGGAAGGCTTTTAGAAGACATTTTCCACCCCTCTGTCTTATTTTACAGTATAATACCTTGCAGGCTCAAAGTGTTTTCTACAAAATCAAAAGGATGGGATTGTTTGGGGTGAGTTTGGTTTTTGGTTTTTTTTTTTTGGTCCCCTTTCTCCTTGCGATCGTAGCTCCCGCTTTTTATTTGGAGAACCTGCCGAGCTGTGCCACTCAGGACGTGAAGCAGCAGTGTTTCAAAGACGGGACCAGGCTGGTGCATTCCTTGCCTGTGACCAGAGCCTCCCACAGATGTGATCAGCAGTATTAACCTGTTGACCTTTGCTAGACCCAGACACTGGGAAAGCATGAAGAGAAACAGCACAGAAGCAACAACATAAGAAAAGGAAAAAGATTTTAAAAAGAAATTTTCCTTAAGATTTAATTGGAAAGAAAAAAAAAGTACATTATTTACAGACTCTTTTGTATTCTTGTGCTTCGAAATTAACAATGCCTTTATATTTGTATTCTAGTGGAAAATGGGTTTTGTATCTCAGTTTTCTGCGGTTTTGGGCTACATAAAAGTCCTTTTTGTTCCCCAAACCCAAACAGATACTAAGAGTCTCTGTGTGTAAAATGCCTCCTTACTCCTGCTTGCCCAATCCAGGACTCTCAGATGATCAAGGTTAGCCTGAAGCATGGAGAAAAGTTTTTCTGCCTGCTGCCTGTGGCCATGGGATGCAGCTCCAGATGCTCCAGCACTGCTCTTTATCTGGTGCAGTCTTGCCATCTCCTCCATGGCTGCTGTGCTTACATGCATAATCAGCAACAACATATCAAATAATCTCACATCCTTTTCTCCTCGTAATGAAAAATTATGTAATATAGATGGTATAGGTTTGAAGCGACACAAAGTATCGCTGCTACATATGCAAACCCCAGTGCATACAGATATCTAGGGATCACTCTACTTTTGCCTAGCTATCCACGTGCCTGACCGGATAAAGAACATGCTTCTGAAAGCATCCATTACTTCTGCCTGCTCTGCTTAAGATTTCTGGGAGCCGATTGACTTTAAAAGCAGCTTGGCATGGTCAGCTCTGGTTAATTTGAACTGAACCTGTGGGAGCTCATGGTGCAGGAAGAGAGCCTTTCTAAGCCTCTCAGAGGAACAGTGTCACCACTAGGTTGGGTCTTCCACTGATCCAGAGTATCAACTGATGAAAAAGTTCTCCATGAAAATACAGATTGACTCCTACCGATTCCCTGTGGTTTGGGACACAATCTGGGATACAGGATACATCTGAATGTTCTCTGGGCAGAAGGAATTGGAGTTTGGAAGACAAAGTTCACGGAGAAAAAGTTCCAAAACATTGCTGCTTTAGGTAAGGGAACTTCAATCCGTTTCACCTCATCATAATTTTACTTCAGCTTTTAATAAACCAAAGAAAGGAAACAAGGCCAGTCTGGGCACTAGTCTGTGAAATGTGCCTGTCATATACTCATATACTAGAGCATAATGAACTTTCAGCAGTCACAGTCACCTCCAAATTATGGTAGCCCAAGCAGCTGGGCAGCTGGAAATCTCATACGGTTCCTGAGCCAATGATCCATAAAACCAAAGGAAAGGGTCCCGTCGTGACCTCCCATTCAGACAGCGTGGGATGAGCAGGTAAGAACTCTGTTCTCCATGCTCCTTTCTAACCAGAAAAATGACATACCCACACCGTCAAGGTCTGCCTTGGTGAGGACACAAGAGTCACGAGTGAGAGTAACTGCGAAATTAATATTAAATAAAGTCATACAAACCTAAACAGCTGTCTTTTCTTATGGGTATCATTGCATATACTACTTTCTTCCAACAGCCTACTGAAAAATGAAAAGAAAGATTATGGTAACAGACATGGCAATTCAAATTTATCTTATCTGTAAAGCTATATTCAATTTCTAGCAACATCTTGCAACTTGCGTTAGATTCACAGTTCAAAAAAACAAGGCTAAAATTGCTCCCCGCCCCCCCCCCAACTGTGCACAGTCAACTGAACATAAGAAATGGCAGCCAGGGAGGCTGAAAGCCATTTAACATTTCCTGTCACCGAGCAAGGTAATTCTCATAAGGCAAGGAATCATACATCTACATCTAAAAGAAAATTCATAAAAATATCACCTAATAAGAACATAAAAAAATGCAAGCCAGCAAAATACTGCATATATAATTTCAAGCACTTGCTAAGTCGCTTGGGAAAACTCTGCGGCTCAGAGACACGTTCAGGTTCTCCGACGAAGAAGAAAGGCAAAGCACTTAAACACATACCTAACGCTCCACACAGCAAATCAAGACGACTGCTGATGTGCACGGAGCTCAGCGCAAGCCTAAGCGCTCCGCCGCCATCAAAGGCTGTAAGGCATGCAGCAGGAGAAAGCAGCGTTCTGAGGAACACAGCTGGGGCTCCCTTCCGACGACAAGGCGGCAGGCAGCAACAGAGGCCCGACTTCCAACCCGGCCTTTTACTGGTCTCCACTTGCGTACGCACCCTCACGCCAGGAAAGCGGCTCCGCCAGCTCACAGGGTCCAGCAAAGCGAACCACGTGCGAGCACCCGAGCTGGCCACGTCCTCCTGCGCGCAGGTGTGGGACCGAACGCGCAAACCAGCGGAGGCCTGGCTGTGAAGTTCGTGGTTTCATCCCAGAAAGGTCCCCGCCCCCCCGCAGCAGCACAGCGTCTGGGCGCCTTCCACACTGACTTGGGAACGTGAACGACTACGTCACGTTTACCGTCCCGATCTCTCCAGAGAGGGAAAAGTGGGTTTATGGGACCATCTTTTTTTTCCCGCTTTTCAGGTTCCTCTGTTGAAATTTTGATCAAACACATCTCCATAGTCACAATACAGAAAAAGCAGCTGAGGAAATATCCTTGGCTCTCAGAACACGAGGTGGTTAGATGACAGTGGCCATCACCTCCTGAGGGCCTTCCCTCATTCCATCTACAGGACTGTCCATCGGAAAAAACTGGTTTGTACCATTACCGTGGAGTCATTTGCTATGGGAACAGCCTTACCCTAAACGCATCTGACAGATGTAAGGATGGACAGAGATAGAAATATTGTGGAAGATAACATCCCCTCCTTCAAGGGGATGATAAACAGTTTTAAAACCTGCACAGGACAGGCTTGGGCTAGCACTGCTCAAACACCACCAGTGAAATTCTCAGCGTTTTGGTTAAAATCCCTATCTGCCATAAAAGTGCGTAATTTCTAAGATCTTCAGCACAGCTAAGCTAGTTCACGGCTGCTATGGAGCTAACACTTGGTATTCTGTAGATCTTAGTCGAGCACAGTTTCTTCTTCCCTTTGCTTTAAATGGATTTATTATGATAAAACGGACATCCATAAGAACTGTCACACTATCATGCAAAGTAACAGTTGCCTCAGACACCACCATTTCATTACTACAATGCAGCAGTAAAGTAAAGGTCTGGTCTGGGGGACTCGTGAGCCTTCACAAGCAACAAGCGAAGTCGGTGCTGCTGCTCAGCCCCACGGGAGAGCCCGTTAAACAGCAGAAATCACAAGTGTGGTGTTTCATAAATACCGTCGTCCAGCCACTGCTGCGGTGCTTTGCAACCATCAGTAAGTTAAATTCGAAAGGCACTGCAGGGAGAGGTTGAGCATTTGAAACGAAGCGTTAGGTGGGTTCCCTGACACAGCCCAGCCTGCTTTTTAAACTGAACGCAAAGTCTTGGGAAAGCAGCAGTAACACCTTATCTGCTCAGGTACAATACCACAAGGCAATCTCTTTTCCCTCCCCTTAAAGTAGAAGAACACTGCAGATCATATGGATTACAAATTTGCTCAACAGCCTTCACATTAGGATAAACAACTATAGACAGACAAAATAATACGAGAAAGAAACAGCTAAGTTTAACACAAAAAAAAAAAAAAAAAGCTATTTTTTACCTGTTTTCCACAAAAAGGTTTTCCTGGGAGCAAACTGACTGAAAAATAAAAAAGGCATTGTATCAGACGTTCTAGATATTCTCTGCTGTTCCAATTCCTTCCTTGATTTTAGAATTATCTCCCCTGTTCAGGCTTAAGGGGATTTCAATTCATGCATCATTTGCATTTGCAGAAGACAAGAGGGGAAAAAAGGTCAAGAGTAAGGTCAGGCCAGTAAAATAAATTCCATGCATTACAACACATTGCCAATGAGGGGTCTCAGTTTGGAAACAAACTGAAACTTCTCGGTCTTGAGATCAGAAGGCAGCGGTTATGTGCAAAATACTGGCAATTCCAAGGGAAAAAACCACTTTTCCTACATAATGTAAGGTTCCACTGGTCTGCCCTACCACCTCAAAATAAAGACTGCAGAGTAGCACAGAGCTGCAGGTAGGAAGGACAAACAGGAGGAAAGCATGCAGAATTGACCAAGTTCTTCAAAGGGAGAGAAGATACTGCAGTACTTGGAAATACTATGTGATTTCACATTTTATGGTTAGAGAGGAAAGTCATACCCACATTGAGATATAAAATTATGATAATCATCTTAATAGCAATATTAACAACAATAATAATCTATTGCAAAAAGGTTCTCTGCTGGAGGACTTAAATCCTGAGAAAGGTGAAGGGCTTGGACGAAATAAATCCTATTGGCAAGTGTCTAATTGTTTTAGTGTTACTTCATTTTTTATGCAGAGAAATGAAGCTGTGCTCAATTTCCCATGAATAATTCTCCCTCTTTGATTTTTTCATTTCCCTCCTATTTCATGTTCACTACACAAAGTGCCTCGTAGCTGTCACTGGATTATATCTCCATGAGGTACAGATAAAAGGACAGTCAGGAGTTGCACTGAATTTAAACAAAAGGCAGGCAAAGGGTGGAGGGCACCGAAGATCATGCCCATCACTTCTCCAACAACAGGACACAGCTCACAGAATCATGCAATGCCATCATTAGCTGTGTCAAATTTTAAAGGTATGGGACATGCACAGATTTGGGACGTTTCTGTTTTGAAAAGGGTCTGCTAACGACCTACTCAAGGAGCACTGGACAACACCAGAAGCCACATCCTGCTCGTTCCCAGTGCTCCAGTGGATGCACGGGCAAAGTTCTCCCTTGGCACCACAGCCGGTGCCAGCCCATCAATTTACACAAGGAATGAATTTAGCCCTGAGAAGGCAATGAGGTTTCTCCTTAGAGCTGTAATTCACCCGCCCAGCATCCACATGAGGGAACATCTGACAGCTCTGTGGGCTTCCCAGGTGAGCCCCCACCCTGCACTGCTACTAAACACGCAATGCTCTGGGCCGCATCGGTGGCAAGTGCATCCCTCCTTAGCACAAAGCCTCGGGGTATCAGGAACAAGTCCTCCATTGCCAGGGACCAAATTCCCACCAGCTGCAGCAGACCTAGGGTTTCACCCCGGGCTGAGAGGAGAGACAAAACTGTTTCACCTAAAACCACTGGGATCCTTTGTACATAGCATCATAGTATGACACTGCCTCTTCCCTCATTTTATGTACCTTACTCACAACGTTTCATTAGCAAATGCGGCTGTGCAAACTTCAGCATAGTCTACCTACCTACAAGCATGGAGAAATCACCCTGTGGGCTTGTACAACCCTCAGCTGTGGGGCTTGTGTCTTCACTTTGAGGTTCATGATAGGCATTTGTGCATTGACTTCACTGCAGTCACGTTTCCAAAGCAGTGTTGTAGCTACTATTCCAGAAAAGTGAGAAGAAACCTCTGCATAGACCAGAGTACTAGTTTGTGTCCCCACGAAGTTACAAAAGCAAAGGGGCATGTACCGGTCTGTATTTCTTTTCCCCCCCCAAGTTTTTAAACAGCCTGGGACATTTGTGAGCGAAGTAAGGAGAGGGGTCAGC